TTCTTCCCTTGAGGATACCATGAGAAGCTGGTAGTCTGTAACTTGGAAGAGGGTCATCACAAGTACCAACCACCCTGCTGGCACCCTGACTGGACTTCCCAACCTCTAGAACTGTGAGAAATAAATTTATGTTGTTAAAGTCACCTGGTCTATGGTATTCTGTTTTTATTTCTTTCTTATTTTTATTTTTTTATTATCATCATAATCTTGTTTATATTACATTGAATTGCATATAACTTTACAGTGTATTACATTGCTTTTTCAAAAGGGAATGCCATGCATGTCAGTCAATACAGAGACATTAAACTCCCCACTTCATCATTCAATATCTATTCATTGTTTTTCCCAATCATTATTATTATTATTCCAATTATTTTTTTAAAGCAGTCAATCACTATTTCTCATTTTGCTTATAAAAAGACTTTACCCATATGGCGACCAGAGCTAAGATAAGAACATATTAAGGAATTCGGAGGTAAAACCCTATGTGGTTCAGCACTTTAGCAGTGAAATACTGTGGGAAGAGGGTTAGATAGGATATGGGGGGCAATGGGAGAGCTAGGCTGTACATAGCCTGGCCCTATTACTGATTTCACATGTGATCTTGAATACGTTGTTCTCAGGTTTGACCACAGATTTTGCACCTATTGAATTAAAGGACTGGATGAGCTGCTCTTGTGGCCACTGCATAGCACCACGCACCCCCCTTTGACTACAACTCCACCTTGGAACTGCAGTCACTAATGACACCACAATAACTAGGTGAGACGGGAAGAAATAGCCGCTGATGGCAGCCACGAGGCGAACAACAAAATGTCACGCATAACTTGCCGCTGAAGTGTGATATACAATGCAAGATGCATAACTGAGATGAGTATTTATGAAATCTGCTTCAAAAACAAAGATCAAAATGAACAGTGCCGCACCGATGCCATCTCTTCGTGCTAGAGGTTACAACCGTACAAAAAGATGAAAACGCTGGCAGATACAAGAGAAAGGAAACACTGCAGCTGCAGAAAGCGCAGTGGTCATTCATCTCCATCCTACTCTTCATTACAGTGCACAGTGATTTTTTTTTTCCCCAAGATGAAGTATAAAGAAGAGTATAATTGCATAGAGAATGGACAATGTGAGATACTAACCCGGGACATAATAGTGCTGTCAGCAACGAATTCTCCTTCCATGCAATACCTTTAAATGCTGAGGAAATAAAAAATAGAATAGTTAGTGTAGCGACTTGATATGGTTCACTTTACAAATACTGTAAAGTAGCCAAGGCATAATTACATTTGATAAGTAGGCTAAAACTCCCCACGCAATATTTAATTTTTATTTTATCATCTTTTTTTTTTTTAGAAAGATTTTTGCTATAGGGTACATGTGCTTGCCAGAGAGACAGAAAGCAAGAAGTCACCCCCCAATGGGACAGCCACACCATAATCCCTTTTCCTCCATTCTTATCTTGGGATCCTGGGGCATGCACACACATGCAGCCAGCGTGAGTTTTAAGCTGCCAGGCTCAGGACTTGAACAGTGGTTGACAACATGGGAATAAAGCAACGTAACCATTACATCATCTGCTGGTCCCTATTTCATAATCTTTCAATTGCCGCATGTCACATACCAATTTACTGGACTATAACAGTTGTAATGCTTACTTTTATACATTTTAGCAGACACATGAATTCCCAGAAGGATCCACGACACAACTGCACACGTCATTAAAGCACCTCGATTGGCAGGGGAAAGAAAACCAAGGCAGGCCATGACTAATGGCACAAAAAGAAAACAGAAACAAGTGACAATTATAGTTTCAAATTTACACAGTAGTTTAAAATAAAGTAGACATAACCTCCTTAAGACATGTCATATGACGGGCCCTCAGGTGGCATGGTGGTCAATGGAGCTGGACTCCCACATGGCCGACTGCAGTTCAAAATCTGGACCTGAAGACTTGCTCGCTCACTCTCTCTCTCTCTCTCTTTCTTTTTCACTCTGTCCCTCTTTTAGTCAAATATAAATAAATTAATTAAAATAAATAAAGTCAAATAAAATAATTCTTTAAAGATATGTCATATGATCCAGTATACAATGAAATTCTCTAGTGAGCTTGCCCAAGTGATGCTGCAAACAAATGTTACTCATTTAGTTTATTCCCCAACAATTTTTCTCTTAATAAAAAGTCTAACATTCAATCCAAGGCAACAGAAATATGTTTTAAAGTTGAATTAGGGTTTCACTGTCTAAATCAAAATTAAGTGAAATAGTTCCTCTTCATTATTCCAGCAGTTGCTCCAAAAACAGCGAATCATTTTTCCCATAAAAATTGCCTTCTGGGGGCCAGTAGGTGGTATCGTGGTTAAGACACTGGACTCCCACATGGCTAACCAGGGTTCGAGTCCCAGACTTGGTGACTTGAATATCATGCCAGGCATGTGTGCATGTGTGCCCAAATCCCAGAAGGAGAATGGAGGAGAGGAGGCTGCAGCACAGCCATTCCCCCGGGTGGGTGATTTCTCACTTTCCCTTTCACTGTTTCTCTCTGTCTCTCCAAAAACTGCATGTGCCCAATGGCAAAAACCTAAAAAAAAAAAAAAAATGTCTTCTGTTTCCCTTTATTCAAGGTGAGGAATAAGTAAGACTTGATCTCAGAAAACATAACCTTAACTGAATTTTGAAATGATCACTGATACTTGCAACACCTAACAAACTATTTTCTGACAGCAGCTTTGTTTTTCTTTTTTTAGGGAGATTTTTGCTATGGGCACATGCGCTCACCAGAGAAACAGAGAGACACAGAGACAGAAAGCAAGAAATCACTCCCCGGGGGAAGGAGGGGTGGCCACGCTGCAATCTTTTCTCCTCCATTTTCCTCTCAGGGTTTTGGGCACACATGCCTAGCGTGAGTTTTAAGTCAATGGTTCTGGGACTCCAACCATGTGTCAACTACATGGGAATCCAGCAATGTAAGCATTACATCATCTGATAGTCCCCAGCAGGTTTGTTTCTGAAAAATCACTAATCTGGCTATGGAAAACTGACGAGCTCCCTTTTTAGTTGATAAACGAAGACAACTAGGATTCATCAGCTATTGTGAGGCTACTAAAGACATCACTCCATTTATACATATAAAGACCAGCACCTAGACTTCGACAGCATTTCAAAACGCTAGCCTTTGAATCATGAACTCCCTTAGCCCATTTAAGATATGATTCTGCTCACAAACTGGTCTGCAGAAATGCATATATTTTGCAAAGCAAGTAATATGTATGTAGGGGGTTACAATAAATTATTCAGAACTGACGAAGCTACATATGGGTTCTTCATATAGAAATGTGCTCAGATTCATATCCTTGATTTGAGAAGACAGATATGTAAATACCATAAAATGCAAATATCTTTAAACTTTAGAGTATAGTCTTCGGGACCAGCACTTGGCATAATGGCTATATCGCTGGACTCCCATGTAGTCAACTGTGGTTCAAGTCCTGGACCCGGTGGCTTAAACTCATGCCAGGTGCATGTGCGTGCATGCCCAAGATCCCAAGAGGAGAAGGGATTGTGGCATGGCCATCGCCCCGGGGGGTGATTTCTCACTCTTTGTCTCTCTGTCTCTCTCTTTCTGGCGAGCACATGCCCTATAGCAAAAACCTCTCAAAAAAAAATAAAACTTTAGGGTACACTTTTCTAAGTCTTTCTGTACACATGATTCAAAGTTTACCATATGCTGGCAGTTCACTATGAATGTTTAAGATACATCTGAGCCTACTCACATAAAGTAATAAATGTCATAATCAAAACTTGTGTTCCTTGCCCCAGGAAAACCGACAGTAGCATTTCATTTTGGGGAGGCCTGAATACGTCTCCATGAACCAACTTCCAACCAAACTCTTCCTGGGCATCTCTCTGCAAACAAGAAATTCCTTACTAAACATACATGTTACTATAACATAAAGTTACAAGAGCTCTAAAAGTTAGATGAAAAGAATTCTCCTATAAAAACAGACGAACTGGAAACCAAGGGCTCATTTAACATGCTGACCTCTGGAAGGTGCATGACCCTGCCACATAAAGGAATCTCTCCCTTACTCTAAGTTTTGCACTGGCAGGAATGTGATAATCACATAAAGCACACAATCGGCTTGCTTTTCACAAACCCAAACAATTTAACCTACATAAGAAACTCAACCAATTTTATATAAATTAAAAATTCACCAACACACAAATAACTACAAGAGTCAAAACACTATGAACAGTATAATCTAAATGATAGTATTTTGCAATGTTTCATATATTTATTTCATGCTTTGAATCAATAAAAATCTTTAATAATGGTATTTCAACAGTTCAGAAAAATATGCTAAATATTATAAGAAAAGAGAAAAAAAAAAAGAAACACCTCAAAAAAAAAAAAAAAAAAAAAAAAAAAAAAAAAAAAAACGTACCTGTGCTTTAAAGACTTCTACACAATTCTGTACTTTCTGATTTTGTATAATACACAAAGTCACTAGGAATTGAATACACATTGTATTCAAGTTGGTGTACACTAGGTAGAAATGTAACATTGGAAACTGGGCAGAGTAAGGTCTCAATTATTTGTTGAATCAAATGTGTGCATTTTCACTTACAGAAGAAGGTATCTGGTTGTATTTGATAATATCTTCATGGAGAGTCTTTGATACTGTCATAGCTACCATTCCAGATAGGAAAAGAACAATAATGAAGGAGTTCATAATACTAGAAAATTTAAGAAAGAAAAAATGAAGTTAAATCTCAAATTTTTAAGCCAACAGTAAAAAAGAAAATGCATGCACATATAAAAGAAAAGCATTCAAATTATCATTATGTCAATCAATTTGCTAAAGTTAAACTTAGATCAAAGGCTGGACGTACCAGTAATATTAAATGAACTTAAAGTTATATCACAAGTCTATTACAAATAAAGCAATAGAAGCAACACTCACCTTTTTAAACATTTTTCAGATTTATTTAATTTTATTTATCTTTTTTTTTTTAATTTGCTACAATGCACATGTACTCACCAGATAGAGGCACACACAGAGAGAGAGAGGGAAAGTGAAAAAGCAAGTCGCCAGGTCCAGGATTTGAACCACAGTTGGCCATGTGAGAGTCCAGTTCTTTAACTACCATGCCACCTGCTGGCCCCAGCAACACTATTCTTAAGATTATTTTAGAATTTTTTTGGGGGGGAGAGATTTTTGCTATAGGGTACGTGCGCTCACCAGACAGACAGAGAGAGACATCTTAGAGACAGAAAGTGAGAAATCAACCCCCAGGGGGGATGGTCACACCGCAGTCCGTTCTCCTCCATTCTCCTCTTGGGATCTTGGGCACACACACACATGCTCCCCGCGTCGAGGGTCCGGGACGCGAACTGCAGTCGACTACGTGGGAGTCCAGCGACATAGCCATTACGCTAACTGCTGGTTCCCAAGATTATTTTAGAATTTTTAAAGAGTATGTTCTTGGGACAAGCAGATAACATAATGGTTACATCGCTGGATTCCCATGTAGTCCACTACAGTTCGAGTCCCAGGCCTGGCGGCTTAAAACTCATGCTGGGCGCATGTGTGCATCTGCCCAAGATCCCAGAGGAGAATGAAGGAGAAGGGATCATAGCATGGTCATCCCTCCTGGGGGGTGATTTCTCTCTTGCACTGTCACTTTCTCTCTCTATCTCTCTCCAGTGAGCACATGCACCCTGTGGCAAAACCTAAAATAAAAAAATTTTTAAACAAAACCTACTACTGAAAATTAGCCTCCCTAATCTATTGGAGCCCTTTCACTTTCCTAAGCCTTTTTAGAAATCATTTAAATCAGTTTTATCGGAGGAGACTTCTGGGATGTGTGACAAAATGAGACGTGAACTATTGCACAGACGACTCTGAAAAAGTTATCATAAGAAGGAGGACGAGGAGGGGGAAGGAATAAGAATAAGAATAGAAATAAGGGGAGGACGGCTATTCTAATTTAAAGACAATCAGAGCATAAAGAGAATCATCACCTTGGAAGACCATACTCGTAATATCACACCTTTCAATACTTCCATTTTTTTATTTGTGAGAGGATGTGTGTACTCACCAAAGAGAAACAGAGAGAGAGGGAGGAACAAAGCACACACACACACACACCCATGAAGAGTGCTCATGCTGTAACCCCTTATCCTCTATTTTTTTCATCTGGAAAAATGGATGGAACATGCATGCATATATGCCCAAAATGTTGTGGGTTTTGTTTTTATTTTTTGAGAGTTTTTTTGCTATAGGGGGCATGCATTTGCCAGAAAGACAAAAAGAGATAAAGAGACAGAAAGCAAGAATTATATCCTGAATTACATCCCCAGGGGGGGATGGCCACACCACAATCCATTCTCCTCCATTCTCCTCTTGGGATCTTGGGCACACACGCACACACGCACACACGCTCGGTGTGAGTTTAATCCACCATGTCTGGGACTCGAACGGCGGTCAATTTTGTGGGAGCCCGGCACCATGGCCATTACACCATCTGCTGGTCCCCCCAGCATGTTTTTCAAGCTGCCAGGGCCAGGATTCGAACTGCGGTTTGTCATGCAGAATCTGGCTCCCTTAACCACTAGATCACACGTTGGTGAGATTACTGTTATTTTTACTTATATAATCTTCTGTTGAAAATTGCTTTATTATAGGATATGAAGAAAACAGGGAATGGTATACTATATGTACACATTCATTTTGTGGTTCTTTTTATTTATTTGTATTTTTAAAATCATGATACATAGAGACAGTCAGTGGCATGGTGGTTAAGGCAGCTAGACTCCACATGACTAACTGTGTGGTTTGAGTCTTGGATCCAGCAGCTTGAAAAAACATGCTGGGTGCATGTGCATGCATGCCCAAAATCCCAAGAGGAAAATGGAGAAAGGATTGTCATGTGGCCACATCCCCTGGGGGGCTTTCTCTCTCTCTCTCTCTCTCTCTTTCTCTGCCTCCCCCCCCCAGTGAATGCATGTACCTTATAGAAAAGTAAATAATAATAATAATAAATAAAGAGAATAAGGACACATATTGTATATATTTATGGGGTATAGTGTGATGTTTCAATACACGTACACAATGTGTAATAATCAAATTATCTGCTCAGCCTCCATTTAACATCATACTCCCCACTCTCGGCACTTCAGCACAACCTCAGTCATACTCTCAGTTGTTCTAACGCTCAATTCTATGTTGAAACTACTCTTGCTACAGTCACAGACATCTAACCCTGTGATTTGAGCCCATTGAAGATTCCTGAGGAATCAAGGCCTTTCACTGTGGGTTTACTAGAATGTAGCTCATTCACTGCTGTCTCTCAGAACCTACCATAGTGTTCCGTCTCACAACAGAGACTCAAGAGAATCCCTGTAGAGTGAACAGCAGTCCTCTGACAGACACTATCTCCACACAATCCTCTCTTGGATATGACCTCTCTTGATTAAACAGCCACTAGAAAGCGGTTGGTTTATCATATGTAATCCTTTCACCTTTCTTTTGCCCTTTTCCCAATATTTTTATGACATTCCTGCCTTCCCCTACCCCACCTAGTTACTTCTTTTTCTTACTGTCTACTTTACTCAGTCTCTCTAAACACACAAACAAAAGCTTTCGTGCTGTTTACTTTTCATCTCTTACATAGCGTCCACTTCCACACTCATATCCTGCCTGACTCTAAACTCAAAATTCTTTGCATCTCCATGACATGTCAGGTTTCTCTTTTCTTTTAACGTAAATATGAGTGTGGACTGGTAGGTGGCGTGGTGGTTAAGGGCGCCAGACTCCCCCATGGCCGAACATGGTTCAAGTCCTGGACCTGACAGCTTACTTTCTCACTTTCACTCTCTCACTCTGTCCCTGTCTAGTCAAATTAAAATAAATAAGTAAGTTAAATAAAATAATTACTTTTTTTAAAAAAAAAGGAAAATAAAAACACATTTTCAAGTTGGCTCTGTGGCCTAGTTGGTTGGGCACCCAGATCCATGGCCAATTGTGCAGTTCCAGGCCTGGATCTGGCATCTTGAAAAATATGCCAGTGCATGTGCATGTATGCTCCAAATCACAAAAGAACAGGAAAATGGAGGAGACAAGATTGAGGCATGATCATTTCCCATGCGGGAGAGGCTTTCACCTTTCTCTCTCTCTCTCTCTCTCTCTCTCTCTCTCTCTCTCTCTCTTTCTCTCTCTCTTCTAGTGAGCACCACATACCCTCTAGGGCAAAAAAACTCCACAAATTCCCATTTATTTTCCTTTCATTGTGTAGGTGCAGTTGGGAGGTGGGGAGAGAAGGGATCATAAGATCATCTGTGATGACAAAATTCTTTAGCTTAAAAATACCTATTTACATTTTCCATCCTAAAGTCATTAATGTTTTATTTCATAAAGTGCTTACCTAAACCACTGAACGTTGATATGGGGCATAGACTCCAAAATATAATCCCATCTAGAAGCCCATTTGACATACTTGTTTTCCTAAAACAAAAATATAAAATTATATGATCAAACTTTAAGTGAATGTTTGATGATGATAATCCTGAAACAGAAAAAATACTCTGCATGTGTTTTGTCCATTTTCTTTTACTTGTAACTTCATGGAATCATGAGATCAACCCTGACTTTTTTTTTTTCCTTTAGGTTTTTGTCATAGGGCTCATGCGCTCACTGGAGAGATAGAGAGAGGGAAAGTGAGAAATACTCTCCCAGGGAGGATGGCCATGTCACAATCTCTTTCTCCATACTCTTCCTGGGATTTGGGGTACACATGCACACATGCCCAGTGTGATTTTCAAGCTGCCAGGTCCGAGACTCAAACCATAGTCAGCTATATGGGAGTCTAGGGCCTTAACCACCACACCACCTGTTGGCCCTAATCTTGACCTTTTTTTCCTATTTTTATTTACTGGTATTTTACCTCATTTCAAAAAAGGACTAGGAAGAAAACAATTTTAGCTTACTGCTATTTACAAGAAATAGCATTTTTGCTCCCATTTTTCTGCAACCCTAAATCTACCTCATACTTCATTGGCTTTTGTCCCTTTTGTTCAAACCTCTTTTCCATCTTCATTGTAACTTCCTATCATATTTGCAAAGGTGCACCAAAATACACATAATAGGAGTCACTGTAGCTTTGTCAGTAAATTTCTTTTGTATGCTGCAAAGATGTACAGTGATGATACGTAAATAAAACAAAAACATGGAAAAATAACAACCCAGAAACAACCACAAATGTTTATCAGAATAAGAATAAATAATATATAATAATCCATGCTAGCCTAGCCTATGTTAAAAAGGATGAGGTCCACCTATACACGTCTACGACAACTTTCAGAGAAAAAAGACAGTTAAAACCTATGTATAGCAAGCTTCTATTTTTCCCAAGACAATGATATACCTATTTTGTAGATGTAAATATTGCTCTGAAAGGATAAACGGGGAAAAATGTGCTTATCCATTTAGAAGGAAAGAGTAGGACTTAAAGGGGAAGGAAAGGGAATTTTTACTTATCTTTTTTCCATATTGTTTGTGGTCTTTACCATATACAAATGCACAACTAATATCGATCTTATTATTTAAACTAAAAGATAGCTGACTTCATTGCAACTCTATTCCATCCAAATAAGTTTATTATTATTTTGTTTGATTATAGAACCCATTCAAATTTAAATCATAATTTCATATAAAATACTCTAACATTTTACATTTTCTGTATGTTAATTATTTGGGATGTTGTAGTTGTGGGTTTATAAATGATGGCTTTTTAAAATATTGTAGTGTTCAGTACTAAAGACAATAGAATTATGAATCAGATTGCTTCTGCTGAAGTATAACTAAACTCTACTTGTCAATAGCTTTCCTATGAAATACCCAATAGATTAAACTCTAAATTTATAATCCCTGATAAGCACTTAATCCATTAATGTGATGTTATTATCCCTCAAATCCATGACATATTCTTTGCAAAGTATAACAAAACAAAAACACTGGCACAGATGGACAAAGCTAGGTTTGAAATGGCTTATTATTTAAAATTGCATATCTCTAGATTTTTTTTCCTGAAGTTTGAGGGGTATGAAGAAAATTAAACATGAATCACTTTTTAAAAATAAGTAAATAACTCAAATAATACCTTTTAATTAAAATGGGCTTTGTTGAACAGTGGATTTCAATGAAAACCTGATGTCCAGGGACCAGCAGATAGCATAATGCTTACGTCGCTAGATTCTCATGTAATTGACTATGGTTCGAGTCCTGGACCCAGTGACTTAAAACTCATGCCGGGCATGTGTGCGTGTGTGCCCAAGATCCCAAAAGGAAACTGGAGGAGAAGGGATTGCGGCATGGTCATACCCTATGTGGGGTGATTTCTCACTATCTCTCTGTGTCTCTGTCTCTTTGGTGAGCGTACATGCCCTATAGCAAAAATTTCTCAAAAAAAAAAAAAACCTGATATCCATGTGAACATGGTTAACTAACAGTGAGTGACAGGATAGATTGGCATCATGTGTCTCCTGCTGTGATGTATCTATCACTTCTACAGTATTCCTGTCCAAAATCCCAAAATATATGGCCTGAGTCTGGTCCTGAAGAAATATAAGACAGACCCACATTGACAGTCATCCTACAGAATATAAGGTCTGTACCCTCCAAAACTTCAGGGATATGAAAAACTAAAGAACTGGACCAGGTTGGAGGAGAGCAAAAATTAAATGCAACACGTAATCTACATAGAATGTGAATCAGAAAGACAGTGACATTGTTAGCTAGCTGATGAAATTCGAATGGATGGACGTGGATTGGATAGTAATGTACCAATTTTGATTCCCAGTGTGAAGGATTGTATGCTAGTTCTGTAGGAGAGTGACCTTGTGTTGGCGGAATACGCTTGAGTGCTCAAGAGTGATTGGACTACTTCTAGCTATCAAAAGATTCAGAGAAAGACTAATGATAATGGACACACAGAGAAGAGGAAACAATGGAGCAAGTGAGGAAAAATCTTAACAATTAGGGCATCTGGCAAAAGGGAGTTATGAGGGTTCTTTACACTGTTCTGGCAATACTTCTGCAGGTCTGAAATGTCCAAAATTTGGTATTTTTAAAAAGTGATATAAAATCAGAATTTATAGGATTGATAAATTAAGGAGTAAATGCAAATTTCATGTTAGGATTGATAAAAGCCATCTATTAAAATATCGTTCTAACAGTAAACGTGACTTAATTTGTCAAAATTTAAATTACACACATCTTTTCACTAGCCTATCCAGTGCCTTAAGTGAGTTGACTCACATCAAGATTTTTTTTTAAAAGAGAGATACTTTCAAATATGCACGATGAAGTTTGAATTTTAAATACAAAGAGCCTGCAGTGGTTATAAATCATTTTTGCACCAAACATTGCCATCTGCTGGAAATAACGGACCATAACACATTACTTTTACCTAAGAAAATAAGAAATCATTTAAAAATCCTAAGGACCATTTGAGGACAAAATGACAAATATACATTTTTAAATTTTTTAAATTTAAAAATTATTCTGTGTGTTTGTATCCCAGAGTTTCAAGTTCCTTTACAAGACACAGCGATGTTCATAAGATCACAAGATAAGGAGGTCTTTAACGTTAGTAATAATGGAGATGCAAGCAGAAAGGTAGAAACAAAGACAAGACTTTTTGATCCAAGGCACATTACCCAACGATGGGTCTCATTCAGTAAAAATTCAAGCAAGGACTCAAAAGTTTCAAGCTGGCAGGCAGCTTGATCTTTTAGTTCAGCTGATCTCAACAGGGAGAATAGCACCCCCTAGAGGATAAAATGGAAATGCGTGGTAAAGTCAAGGGTGCTCAACAGCATAGAACTTCACCAGAGAGCCAGAAGTGCACGGGAGAGCCACGCAACAGAGAATTGAAAAGAACTACTGTGTCCCACACCTCTGTCAAATGACCCACCCAACATTCATGTAGGTGAAAAACTGTTTATGATTATCTGTGCCTAGAGTCAAACTCCCCTTTACTGAAAAATATAAAATATCTTACAAGGTTTTAATAGGCATTGATATTTTGCCCCAGGAATACAAATATCGTGTAAATTGAGGGAAAGCAGAAGTTCGTGTGGATTGGGACTGTACTAAAATTGATTGACATTTCAGAAAATCATGTCATCATTTAGAAAGATGTGGTACTTGAGCCACCCACGTATACAATATTCCTATAACCAACTGGTGTCACTTTTACTATGATTATACACCTAGGTGCAAGTATCTGACAACAACTGAAATGTATACTTAAATAATATTTCACTGAAATTTACTTCCCTTTGGACCAGCAGATGATGTAATGGTTATGTCACTGGATTCTTACATGGCTGACTGTGGTTCAAATACTGGACCTGGCAACTAAAAACTCACACTGGGCGCATGTACGTGCATGCCCAAAATCCCAAGAGAATGGAGGAGAAGGGATTTTGGTGTGGCCATCCCCCCTGGGGGGTGATTTCTCACTTTCTGTCTCTCTGCCTCTCTCTATCTTTCTGCTGAGTGCATGCACCCTATAGCAAAAACCTCTCCAAAAAACAAACAAACAAACAAAAAAACTTCACACCAGGCATGTGTGCATGCGTGCCAAAAATCCCAAGAAGAGAATGAAGGAGAAGTGATTGTGGCAGGGCCATCCCCCCTGAGGGGGGTGATTTCTCATTGTCTCTCTGTCTCTCTCTGTCTCTGGCAAAGCGCACACACCCTATAGAGAAATCTCTCTTACAAAAAAAGGTAAAGTTTTTTATTGTTGTTGCTTGTTTGTTTAAGAAACAAAGTGTTGCTGTAATGCCCAGACTGGCCTCAAATACACAGTCCTCTGCCTCAGACTCCAAAGTAGCTGGAATTCCAGGCATTCACCATCACACCTGACTAGAAACAGTAAGTTTTTAAAGAACAAGTATTGTAGGACCAGCAGTTAGCGTAATGGCTGTGTCGCTGGACTCCCACATAGTCAACCGCGGTTCGAGTCCTGGACCCAGTGGCTTCAACTCACACCGGGGGCATTTGCATACGTGCCCAGGATCCCAGGAGCAGAATGGAAGAGAAGGGATAGCGGTGTGGCCATCTCCCCTGGGGGGTGATTTCTCGCTTTCTGTCTCTGTCTCTCTCTGTCTTTCTGGCGAGTGCACATGCCCTATAGCGAAAACCTCTCCCCCCCCCAAAAAAAAAAGAAAGAAAGAAAGAAAAAAGAAAAAGTATTGTATATACAAACAACTTAGCCTGCCACTTGAAAGCCATTAGAAATCTGACCCCAGTCTCTTTCCAATATTTTGATTAATACTATAAACTATTAAAGCCTGTGGTATAGGATTGAATCTCTGTGACCTTTATGTACCCCAGCACCTAACACCTGGCATACAGAGTGCATTTATTATATGGGGAATTAAGAAACAAAATTTTAAATCTGTGTTTCAGATAGGTTTATTCACTGCTCCCCACATGTA